TACAGTCTTTGGCATATAGACTAACAAATGGCAGCTTTCATTGTAGAGCAAATATCATGTGATCCGATCCTGTTGCTTTCTCCTTACCACCCCCTATAGATATCTCTAGAAGGCTGGGTCTTCAATATTCAGTCCTGACCCCCACCCCCATCACCCAGGAAGCAAGCCCCAAAAGGTAACACTGATAACCCTGTAAATAGGCCCAAGTGACTGGAACCCCCTAACTCTTGATAACCTAGAGACTGAATTCTCAGCTCTCTTTTCTCCAACAGAGTGATCAGAATGGGAGCGAGCTGGGACGAGTCATAGCTACATGAGAGAGATGGAGACCAAGGGGAAGGATTGGGAATAGACAACCCTTCCCTACTCCCAGTCCAAGGCTTCCCTCAGCACTCTTTTTTGTATCCTATAGGTGACAGACAGATTCTGGGATGAAGCAAGTGATTCAAGTCAATTAACATTTACTAAGTACCTACTACAATCCAGGCCCGAGGCTACAGAGATGAACAGGGTTGAAAGACGGTCCTCGCCCTTACTTCCCTGTTCTTAGCCATGGCTTAGGAGCATCTCTGAGTTTCCATCCTCCTTTATCACTTACCCATCTATTCCAGGTACTATGATTTATTATAAAGACTAACAGAGAATAATGACTTCAAATAATGTAGAATTTTCCAGGTGGCCTAATAAATGTTTAGAAACAGCATGTCCTAAATTGTCACCAATACAAGAGATCCCAAGTTATGTAAGTTAATAGTTTGTTAAAGGAATGGTAAATTCCACTGTCTTTTAGGAGAAATGAGAATATATTAATTTTGGTGTTTCTCAGTCCCAGCATTTGCTTGAGTATTCCACAAGTTTGTTCAAAAAATGAATAGATAAATGACTGGAATGAACAAACAAGCCTATTAACGAACTCGTGATTCAGTTTTTATACATTAACCCCACAAGAGCTAAGTAACATGGCTTCTTAACCACAGATCAGGGAGTTTTATTCCAAGCCCACAGAGAGAAGTCTTAGGATGGACAGATGGGACTCTGGTCCTCCTCAAGTCACACAGGAAGGCACAGCTCCGGGTCGGGGACTTTTGCCAAATTATGCCCGCCCCCCTCCCTGCCCATCCCACATTGCATCAAGGGAACTGAAGAAACATGCAATCACACAGATTGCATATAAAAACCTGGAGCCCGTGTGGTTGGCAGGTGGCTGACAGTGTGGGGAAATGAGTGTGAAGAAGGACCTTGGTGCCAGAAGATGTGGAGATGTGAGCTCAAGTCCTGGATCAGGTAGCTCCTAATAAGTCACATACCCTCTCTGAACCTGTTTCTTCATCTATCAAATGAGGATAACAAGATCTCATTTGGGGGATTATGAGCATTAGATGAATAAAGCATCTGTTATTAACTTTCTAAACCATAAACTCTCTCAACTTACAGATCTAAGAATACCAGAGGTTGGAAGATCCCAGAGGAACAGGCAAAATGGAGTGGCTCAGTCCCCAGCTACCCCCTCCTTAGCAAAGGTCACTGATAGAAGGTCTTTCACCGACCCAGCTGTCTGACACCTCAACACCCCCTCCCTAGCTCCCTCCCCTCTGTCACACACTGAGAGCTGAGGAGTTGTGCAGCCTCAGCCCAGGGCGCTGTGTCATGCTCCAGCAGCTGTCATTCCCTCCGTACACAGGAGGAGAATGCGAAGTGACACCTGGAGCTGAGGTGGGGAGTAGGAGCTGCCAGCAGGGACTGCTGCAGAGGCGGATGTCAGGAAGCCTGGAGAGGGGGCTGTCCCAGGCAAAGCACCCGCCCTGGGGCAAAGGGCACAGTGCCAACTCCTGGATCTGCGGTCCAGAAGCAGTTGATCTTGGGCTGAGCACTTAACCTGCATCCTAGATGATTCACATCAAAAGCCTGATCTGCCTGCCTCCCTGGGTTGGTATTATAACATATTTCACTGCTTTTAGACCCCAAGAGTTGTAGGATGCCCCAGGAGTTCCTTTTCAGCAAAGACAGAAAGAAAAATGCTGTCAATTACATCGTATCATGTCATTATTGTAAGACACAGGCTGATGTCAATGATGCTTCAGCTTGAGAAATGCACATTGGAGAAGCGCTGTGATTTGGTACGTGAGCAAACAGTGTGAACCTAAGACTAAATCTGAGTAGCCGTTCCTGGGGGATTGAACCGCAGCCCTCAGCACCCTCAGCACAAATCTCGAGAGTGCCAAGCCCTTTCCCTGGAGCACATCCACATGGGAATTAAGGAGAGAGGAAGAAATCAGCAGGTGCAGGAAGAACAGGGACAAGGTCAATATCATATGGGCATAGTACATGTTACTTCATATTTTGGTAAAAATCTGTAATGCTTGACCAGCAGTTTATTAAATGGATGTACACGGAAGATGTGTACTTCTCCATTTTACAATTATTTGACAGCTGGATTGCCTTCTGGTTTTGGCTGTTACAGTTAATTATTAAGAGTGCTCCAATGTACATCTTTAGGATATCACATTTTAATAGGGTATTGTGACAGGTTGAAGTGCTCCCAAAGACAACTCTGCCATTCTGGGGTGGGGTCTGGGAGCTAGGATGTATGAGGAGAGGTAGAGGAACTGGACCCTTTGACAGGATGGGAGAAGACTGATGGGAGCAGTACCCACTGGCTTCCCAGAAGGGTTGCCATGTGGCTTGAGGAGCAGATTTGTAGGAGTCACCGGGGTCTTTCCAATTAGCATGTCCAGGAAGGCCCTCCATGTCCTCACTGGCATGTATCAAGGTGCATACGAGTGGGCACAAGTGGTGACCCCTAGGCCAAGTCCGTTGTCTTCTTCGTTCTCTGCCCACTCAGCCCTCCAACCTCCCATTCTTAGTGGCCTTCAGACTTTGCCAAACGGCCCCTGCTGTCCATCTGAACCAACAGGACCTTGTCACTGCTGAGTATATATCCAAAGGAAATAAAATCACTAACTTGAAGAGATACTTATACCCCCATGTTCATTGTAGCATTATTCATAGCAGCCAAGATAGGAAAGCAACCTAAATGTCCATCAGTGGGTGAATGGATAAAGAGATACACACACACACAGAGGACTGTTATTTAGCCTTAAAAAAAAAAAAAAGAAGAAGAAGGAGAAGGAAATCCTGCCACTGGCAATGGTATGGATGAATTTGGAGGGCATTATGCTAAGTGAAATAACCCAAGCACTGAAAAGAGACAAATACTGCATGATCTCATTTATATGTAGAGTCTTTAAAAAAAATCGAACTCAGTAACAGAGAAATGAATGGTACTTCCTAGGTGTTGGGAGTGGGGGAGAAACTGGCCAAAGAGTACAAACTATCAGCTACAGAGGAATAAGTCCTGGAGACCAGCATGGTGACTACAGTTAATAACAATGTACCGTACACTTGAAATTTGCTGAGAATGGAGCTCAAGTGTTCTCACCACACACACAAAATAGGTAACTATGTGAGATGATGGGTATGTTAATTAGCTTGATTGTGGTAATCATTCTGCAATGTATGTCTAAACACTGTATCACATACCTTAAATATATACAATTTCTATCTGTCAATCATACCTCAATAAAGCTGAAAAAAATAAAACATGAGAAAACAATGCCCAGGTGTGCTGCATTGTCTATGACCATGCACTTCTGAAACACTATGTACAAATTATTTTTATAGACTAAACCATGTTTAAAATTCAGCAGAATTTTCTTTTACAAGAGTGACCTTCAGAAAATCCTTTTGTAAGGCAACAGATGTTTTTAAACATCGTCATCTCTATCTATTTATCTGTTCCCTATATTGAGGGGTTGGTTGCTTATGAGCTCCATTCGAACATTCCAATCCTTTACACCTTCAACTTTTTCTCTTTCACTTAATCACAATTGGTGTGAAGGTTAAAAGTATTAAGTATTGTGTGTATTCCACAAGATGATGAGTAGATACGAACATTGTCAAGCTCTTATTTTTCTCAGACTTTATCTACCTCCACTCCTCTGTTCCCTGGAAAAAATCTCCTCTTTGTTCCCCTCTCCTTTTGGTCAATCGTAATGGTGGCTCCTAGATCCCCCCCCTCCCTTTTCTACTGCATTCTCTTCTTTTCCACACAGGTCTGGCAAGCAGCTTGAGTATGGGAATTTCCAAGTCACACGCCTTGCTGCCATAGCCATATCCACACGGGCCTGGGCCACAGGGGCTCCCCCACGAGGCCTGGGCCACTACCCTCCCATGCAGGCACCAAAAGCCACCTGACAAAAACAACAACGAGAAACCACAAAAGCCCAGAGAGGCATGCCCGTTATCACCAGTCCCAAGGCCCATTGCATATGCTACTAACGGCACTGGATAGGCCCCAGTAGAGGCCATCCCACACTCATTCTCAAAAACATGATTTATCAGATATTTAAATCTACTGCCAATAAACATATGCCGCCTATGACACTGCGTTGGCAACAATTTAGTATTACTTATCAAACATTTTAATGTGACTCAATTTTATACCTCCTCATATGAATAAATCTGCAAGTCAAAAAAAATTCTGTGGTCAGGAAACGAGTCTCAGTTATCAGTTAAGAAAATATTCATGGGGGGTCTTCAACATTCAAAGAAACACTGCACCCCAATGGCATTCGGGGCCCATCTTTGCGGGGGCCCCTCAGGCTAGGGCAAGCTGCTTGCTTTGGTGAAAAGACTCACTGGGGTATGTGTGCCTGGCACTAGGCAAACCCAGAATGGAAAAGCAGAAGGAGAGGCAGCCACACCCTGGTTCTGTAACATCTACGGAATGCCACATGCATCTCCACAGAGTACCCATAGCCCCCTGCAGGTGGGTCACCTATGGTCTGGCCCTGTGGAGAATCCCGTCCTGAAACTTTTTTCTTCTGACTCTACTGCATGCACTTCTGCCTTCCCACCCCTGGGTTCCTTGCACCAGCCACTTCATGACCACACAGGCACATCCCCTCACGCCAAAAGGGAGAGACAGGAGGAGGACTCACCCACTGAGGACCACGATGAAGTCCATGACATTCCAGCCATTGCGGAGGTACGAGCCCTTATGGAAGATGAACCCCAGGGCCACAATTTTGATACCAGCTTCAAAGCAAAAGATCCCAATGAAATACGGTTCTGTCTTCTCCTGCGGGATGAGGAGCACAGGTGCCGGTAAGAGGGGGGCAATATACTTTGTCAGATGCAGACAAAGTCGCGCCCCGGCCGCCCTCTCCACTCTGACCACTTCTCTCTCCTACACGACACCTGACGTCCGCGCTGGGCCAGCCCCAGGTACAGGTGGGAAGTGAGTGCGCTGAAGGACTCCAGGAGTGCACAAGAGCACGGGAAGCCTCAGGGGGCACCAGCTGCAGAAATGGATGGGTGAGGGGGTCATACTCAAGCCAGACTTCTTCCCAGGAGGATGGTTGATGTTTCTGGCTTTGCCTTGGCAAAGTTGGCTTTTCCATTGCTGGCCTTCACTTACCCTGGACGCTTAAGGCTTTTCATCTGCAGGTAATCAGGCTGAAGCCGCTTATCCACACATTTGGATTTTAAGCAATTAATTTTCCCTCTCTAGAGGTAATACACTAAACACATGACTCATTGCTTTAAGGAGAAAATGGACATGACATCTACAAAGTCATCACTGTGAATGCACATAGGCTTTGAGCATCCTTCTCCCTATCACTTCCAAAGTCCCTTAGGAAGGGGAGTGAAGTCAATGGCCCTTGCGCCTGCCCTTTCTTCTTATCTGGCTGCCACACGGTGTATACACAAGGGTTTGTGATGCCCTCAGAACTTCCTGGGAGCAGGAGTTTAAAAAGGTCAGTCCTCTCGTCCTTCTGCACACCAGTGGAGTTTGTCACCAACTTGTCCCTCAGCAAAGAACAAACTCCTCACTGAACTGTAGGGGAGGGCATAGGGGAGGTGGCCAGGTGATGAAGCAAAGGAGAAGGGAACCGGGGAAGAGAAAGGACTGGGGAGAAAGACGAGATGGAAGGAGGCACATACCAGTCTGCGGGACATCGGGGTCTTGTCATCCTCAGGAAGATGCTGTTCCAGGGCCAAGACAATGCAGTTGGCAATGATGGTGGCCAAAATCATGTACTCAAACGGCGTAGGAAAGATGAAGTTAAGGAACAGATTCACCAAAGAGAGAGGGATGCAGCCTCCATGATGGCTATATACATAAATACACAAACTTCATTAAAACCCAAATGATGCCTGTGCAGTCTGCATGATCTCTATGAGCAAGCACGCAGGCAGGGCACTGGATGGTCCATAGCATGAGAAACTATAACCATTTCTGGTTGGGCTCTAAACCCAAAGCACCTTCTCCAAGAGAAGGAGGAATGTAGCCAATAAATAATATAGTTCGACATCTGGCTGACACTCCAGATACTTAGGGAATTCAATGGTATAGCTGGGGATTAAGCAGGGCTGAAAATGGAAACAGAAAGAAGGAAGAGACAGTGATGTGGCCGCAGGCTCCTGCTCTTCCCCAGCTTCAACCTCGGTGCTGGACGACGATGCTTCAGCAAGGATCCAGCCGTGGCTGTCTGTTGCTATCTCTGGGAATCACATCTGGGGCCTCCTCCTCTAGAACCTCTGCTCAACTGAGTAGAAGGGCCTTTGGAAAAAACAATTCTCTCCATGTGAGCTTTCTTCTATTTCAATATCCAATTCAGAAAAATATTTAATGTGGGCAGGAGAAGCTTGCCTTGGCCCACCTTATTTTCTCCTGAGCTTCTACACAGAGAGCAAACAGAGATGCATCATGAGTGAGTCCAGGGCAGTTTGGTTCTTAGGGCATCTAAGAATCAAACTAAAAATGAATGGATAATGAATTCAGGCTTTTTTTCTGTTGCATTTTTCTGTGGACAGATGAGGGGTCTCCCTGAGCCTTTCTGAACAACAGGACTATGATTCAAGTGCCTGCATCCGGACTCCTGCAGAAAGGGTGTGCCATGAGCCCAGGAGTTATTGGGGGGGGGGGGGGGGGGATGCTGTTCACAGAGAGAGAGGGAATCACCAGTTTCTGGAGTCAAGTCATCCTGCGTGCTAGGTTTCATTCTGTGACTATTGTTGTGACAAACACAAGTGAGCAGTCGCCACGGGTCTTGCCAAGCAACCTATGCTCTGGCAGATTCTGGCATCTGGGCAGGAGAAAAGAGTAGATCTGGCCAAGTGGAGGGAAGGCAAGGGACCATCCTCCTTGTCCTTCCACATATCCAGGCCTGCTGTATAGCACGTAGGGCCTAGAGCTTTCCCTAGGGAGTACAGATCAGAATCAGGCCCCTGATGCTTCCCCGCCCCAGTGCCCATTAGTGGCCAGTGGGCATTCAGGGCATCTGTGAGGAAGGGCAGGGCACCTCCCAGCAGAGGGGACGTGTGGAAGGAGATGTGAGCTCCCCTCCGCTGCTCAGGCCCCAGGGCTGGAATGGGAGGCTGCAGCGGGTGAGGCAGGAGGCTGCATCGGAGCCCTCAGAGCTCTTCAAGGGCACGCGGCAGTGCCCAGTGCCGTCTCCTTCCCCTCGACCGTGCACCCGAGTCACCGCCCACTCTCCCGCGGCTGGCCACCCTTCCTTCCCACACAGCCCCAGTGTTCCCCCAGGATCCACGCCCTAGGGACGGCCCTGCTGGCTTCTGATGCTCTGAGGCTCTGCCACCGGATCTGCAGACTGGATGGGCTCCAAGGACTTCAGAGCCAGCCCCCTGCCTCGGCACCCCACTGTGCTCCTTTAAACCCTCCCAGTCAGAGGAGAATCTAACCGCACGCCCAGCCTTTCCTCCTCCCGCAGTCTCTCTCAGTACCGAACGAGGCCCCTGAGAGCTAAACATGCCAGTGGACAAGCTCCACAGACGCCCACCTGGTGGGCATGCCCACTTTCTTGGGACAAGCCCCCGCCCACAATGCCCCCAGGGCCACCAGCACGCACTGGTCACAGGGGGCGTGCTCCTCCCTCCCATCATGGGGTCTGACCCAGAGCTCTAAGTGTAGCGGGACCAGGGTCCATAGCAGGACCTGGTGTCCCAGGGGCCCTCTGAAAAGGCTAGCTGGTCCTGGGCCGGGTTCAGACACCCCGAATTCCCCAGACCCAAAAGGTAACATGAAGATGAGAGCATGGCAGAAGTGGTGGTCCAGCCATGCAGGCCTTTTCCTGACAACATGTTGATCAGCCACTGACAAAGGTCAACAGAAGTGGAGGGCATCTGGGGCAGTGTTCCTAAAATGCAGGCAACGGGATACCAGTGTTATAGGAATTGTCAATCAAATCAATGAGGGAAAGCGGGAATTCAGGAGAGTGAGCAGGCTCCTCCAGCAGGACTTCTTGGAGCCTTTGGTATTACTGTCAACAGTGTCCACCGCCTCCCCCAAAGGGGGTGGGAATCATACACAGCATTCCCTAACCCGCTTGACCACATCATCCTTTTATCGGAACACCTCTTCTGGGAATGGTGTCAGAGGAACATATTTGGGAAGCTCTGGTCCAAAGGGCAGATGTCACTGCCAGTCCCCAGGCATGAGGAGGAAGGCTGCCGCTCCGGCAGGGGGGAAACTGGTGGCATCCTTATTCCCAGCGAAACCATTCCCAAAGCGTGGGGCTCAGCTGCCCTTGGCCCTGGCTGGCAGTGCCCCGAGCAAGTTCAGAGAAGCTGCTCAGCAGCTCCACGGAGCCCGGCAGGTGACCTGGCAGGCAGGACTGGGGAGTGGCAGACATCCTGAGCTCTCATGGGTCTGCTTGGGTGCTAGGATTGCTTTCTGGGGTTCAGGCTTCTTCCCCTGAAAACCTCCAAGTGAGAGCCACAGACTTCAAAGCTGATGAGCTCTTAGGTGCTGACTTGCAGGCCTGATGGGTCGTGGCAGCCATATGTCCCCCAAGCCTCTCTACCCCACAACACCTGCTGGGACTGCAGCAGCCCCTCTGCGGCCCCCACTCCCTGCTCCCACTTCCACACCTGCATTTCCCTAGCTGGATCACCTAAGCATACAACTCCCTGCGTTCACCTGTCAGCTGACCTACTCGAGAATGTCCGGGTGCAGATACCTGAGGCTTCTCTGTGACCACAGGGCTGGCTAGCTTCAGGAAGGTATGACCATCACCACCGCTGGATGCTCGGGACAGGAGCAAGGCTCTTGGCCCCTGGTGCTAATGACCCAAACTCCCTGTGACTGGCCAGGTATCTGGAGGGCCGAGAATTCATGAGGTCTCTGTGAACGGCACTGCCTAAAGCCCGGGAGGCTTCCATTGAAAAGTGAGGGTTTGGTAATTCATAGGTTCTGAAAAGACCCCACTGCCACACCCTCCCCAACCCAAATCCTCTGCCTATGGTCTGATGTCTAAGGACCCATGCAGAGCAGCAATCCTTTGGCTTGAAATGCGGAAATTGTTTAAATGCACATATCCTTGGGAGGGATGTCCCTTTAGACCTTACAGCTCATCTCAACCTCAGGATGAATTCATGTTTGGGGCAATTAAGAATCTGAGGTGAGGTTTTGCTGAGAAGCAGAGGTGAGACTATGGGAATCCCACGCATCTGTGGATGAAGCAACAGAAAGGACGGTGACTGGGAAATCTTGGCGGAGAACATCCAGTTCCGTCTGGGGTCCAGCCACTCTCCCTTTCAGCCCTTTCCCTCTCCCTCTCGCCCCCTTCTCTTTCTGAAGAAAGCATGAAGAATGGGCACCTACATCTTGGCGCTTTGGCCTCCACCTGCAAAGGGGGGGCTTTCTCCTCTTTTCTGGTCCTATGTCCAGAGCACGCTAAAATACCACCTCGTCTGTGAAGGTTTCTCCCTGTACCCCATAGCTCTTTATATTGTACAATATTATCATTTCTTCTCCTATTTGTCTCCCCCAAGAAACTACAGCTTGAGAGCAAGGACGTGTTCTTGTTCATCTCTCCAATGGCAGTGCTTACCAGAGCCCCTGGTACACAGTAAGAGCTGACTCAATGCTCAGTGCAGGCGTGAATGAATGGGAGGCACCCCCGGGAGCAGCAGCTCCATTAAGGAGCCATCACAAAGACTGCACAGTAGTCACTCACACTGGCTCAGGCCCGGGCTCCTGCTCACCCCCACCCTTGGGAGCTGACTCAGAGGCGCCACTCCCATTTCTTCTCATCTACCCTCATAACTTCCAGCCAAATAAGCTTGGCTCTAAGGCTTGTGGCTCTGCTACATCTCCCAAGGCAAGAGCCTGGACTGCAAATAATGGCCCATAGGCCAAGGGAATGCACCTCAGGCTAGACAAAGATGTGACCTGGAAAGGTCAAAGGAAGCTCCATGTTGCCAAGACCTCAAAGAACAAGGCCCTTCATGAGACGGTAATGGAAAACTGTCCAGAACTCTGATTCCTTCCACCCAGGAATTCAGTGGCCCCCATTACGTTCTGTGCTTGATACCAAACATATTTTGGAGAACTGTATCTCTCCCTGGTGTCCAGACTGTGTTGGAGATCTTGAATAAATGGGAGCTAGCAGGGCAGTGAGGTGTGGGAGCCTGAGGGCAGGGGCTCTGCCTGTCTTACTCACCTCCGGACCCCTTGTGTCCACTGCATGGTAGGCATGCAATAATTGTCTTCTAATTAATTAACTAATTAATGAATCAATCAATTGATAAGTGAATTGCATAGAAAAGCCAGAATCAGAGGTATCCTTGCAAAGGTATCTCCTACTTTCTCCACACTGTGGACCCACTTGAACTTTTTGTACTATAGTCTGTGTATACACATTAGCTATTCAAAAATAGAAACCAGCATGCATAGAAGATCCCTTTGATGTAAAAAAGATTTTTTGAAAAAGGAGCAAAGGAAAAAAAATCCATCATGCTAGAAGGATAATGAGTTTTCTTGGGGTAGTAGGGTCATTTCCACTTTCTTCTCTACTCCTTTATGCATTGTCTTGAGTGTTATAATGAGTATATATTAATTTATAATTATAAAATCAATTAAAGCTATATGTATTTTGAAAAAACACAAACCAACACAATAAAACCATCCCAACCTGAGGGTAATGGAAATCAGTACAAGGTTTCTGAGAGGATCTAATACAGGAGAACAAAGGGACTGGACCCAAGGAGAAAATGCCATGGAAGTGCTTTGAACCTGCCAAGACG